CAGGAGACCTGGTCTACATTCGGACGCCCATCCGCAAACGCAATCGGACCACGAAGTTCCTGCACCCTTTCCATGGACCCTTCAGACTGCTGCGCCAGACGGGAGCGAACAACTGGGAAATCGTCGACCGCACCGGGCGCCGGAAGGACATTGTGAACGTGGCACGGCTAAAACCGTACTACGAACGTCCGGGAGACCCCGACGGGGACGGTGAGATTGGGGAGGATGGCTCGGCGGGGCTTGACCAAGCTAGTGATGAGAGTTCGGAGGACGAGTTCTTTGATGCCGTGGACGTACCGAACACTCCGGAACCGTCGAGAGCTCAAAGTGCAAGTGCTAGTACAGTGACCACAAACCCGGCAGATCATGGACTCCGACGCAGTGCAAGACTTGAACAAAGGAAGGGTCAGGTGTGACAATTGTATGTGCACTAAGTCCTCCGTTGCCGCTTATTTCTTCTGGCATGAAGTGCTTGTGTGTTCAGATGCTGCGCTTGCGGTTTTCTTTGGTGTATAATTTATGTGCGTGAAATTCTTGGTGTGCGTCGCGGATGTTAATGCTGAGATTGGGACCTCTTCAGCTGAACAGGGAGGAATTTGTAGCGTGAAAATAAATGAGTTGCCGATGGTGGTACGCGGCGGGCCGCTTGCTGTGCTCCCCTTCCCTAAAACCGGTCGTCGTCACAGCGGAGACGGGCTCGACTCGCTCCGGCCTTGGGGGCCCGCCGGTTCCTGAACACGTGCACCGCGCATGCGACGAAGTCCCCCGGGCCGGAGGGAGGAGGGAAGTGGTTTGGCGAGTTTCGCCGCTGGGACAAGGCAGTCGGGACTCGGGAGGCAGGCCGGTAACCGGACCGTCGTTCCACCAGCGGAAAGTTTTGTATCCCTAACCCTTGTCATTCAGTGTCCTACACTTACGGATGTTACAATATGTACCAACATTCGTTCACAAAACGTTTTCTTACTCACCATAAAAACACTTGCAAGGCTTATGTACCGTCATATGTGTTGGATCCCGGACTTCTGAAGAGTGATGCGTTCGCGGAATGTTGCCGTCGGTTAGTTTAGTAGTCCCTCTGGACTATCGCTTTGCTTGACGTGCTAATAGGTTGATGGAGAGTCATTAATATAACAGACAGATCGAAATGAATGTTCAGCAGAACCAAGCAGAACTATTAGCCCTCATTAAGCGACGCCGCGGCCATTTTTCTTCTAGGTACTGCTCCTCCCTCGGCGCCCCTGCTCTCCCAGTAACGTGACCTGGAATTCCCCCTTTTATAAACAATAGTTAACTTTAAACCACGGTTCGCGTTCGAGAAAACGGGCCCTGGTGCAGGTGACAAGGTTGGGCGAAATTCCCGTGAGTCAATACGTACGTCACAGGTTTCGCGCGTCAAACCACGTGTGAACTGGCCGATTTCGCGAAATCTCGGTTTCGCTAAACTGAGGCGCGTTAAAAAGATCTCTCGTGTGAACAAGGCTAATAGACCTTTCCGGAAATATGTTGTGGCCCCTGTGGCTGCTTTGGCCATTGTAGCGTTCAAATGTACGGCACATGAAATTATCCAAGAAGCGAAGACGAAGTTGACGTTGGTTTGAACAGTTGGTGATTTTAGAACGCAGAAAACGCTGAATGAAAGCAAAATAGAGAATGTGACGCCTTTTGTGTGTGTTTAAAGCACGCTGTTGCCAGCCTCTGCAACACTTTTGAAAATGCGATTTCGCCGCATGCAAGATGGCCGTCTGGTGTAGAGTGCCTTCATACACACGCGCGCTTTCCTAGTCTGGTGGCCGCAGTCGCGCCGCAGCGACCAAGCGGAGAAGCACGATCCAGCAATTGTCATAGAAATCAGTGGGGCGAACCCAACGTGGTAGGGAACCTTAGAACGATAGGCTGGAAGCTGAAAGTGACCCCCAATTGGCTGCCGTAATGTCGCACATTTTTGACTAGACACGTGACCCTATGGTTTTACGTCTAGGTTTTAACGAATTACCGCGCACAAATAATTGCGTATTAATCTTTAATAACAGTAGTGAAAGGATAAGATATGTTGCATTTCTTTTAAGTCCAACATGTGCTTCTACGACAAAACTGGGGCAGCTTCGCAATGCCTCCGCTAGATGCCGTCAGCTGCAGTGCTGTATTTTGGGTTTTTATCGAAGCTAGACACTGATCTCTGGAGCTAACAGTATAGTAAAAAACATTTTTTATGTTTTATACACCGTTCGCAATACAAATCTCCGCTCAGTTTTGCGTAAAGGCGTCAGGATTTGGTACGGTCGCGTGTCTATATAGTGGTCAAAATTGTACAACATGGCGGCGTCCATGAGAGGGGGGGGGGGGGGAATACCTGGTGAACGGTATACCACTTTATCGCCCTAAGCAACTCTACCTCGCTGGGCGAACCAGAGCCGTGTATAGAGAGAGTTTAGTCAATGGGAGGAGCGGGGCAGATTCAGGGCGTGCGCCAGACGCAGAGAGAGGACTTGGCATGTCCTTTTGGCCAACCAGAAGCCGAAAAGAATCTTCTAACGATGGTAGCGTGAAACAGTTCTAATAAGAGCGTAAGGGTTAAATGAAGTAATTTCTAATGATTGAAAATATGATGCACGTGCTTTTTTCCATTGTGGTCATGCAAAAAGATGTAAGAAACGAATGCGCTGCTCAAACTGTGTTTTTCTCAGAAGAGTGTGACCGCTCGGACGTCAGATTCCTGTACCTCGGCATGTGGCGTACGGATTATGTCGATTGTTCCGCTAGTGACATCTTCCACTGTAATTCTGGATGACCGTGACTGAAAGATCACCTGCAGCATATTTTCAGTCATTGAGAGTTACTCCGACGCACTTGTTAATTTTGTTTCTAGTGACCACCACCAGGGTATTATTTCCGGCTTATGGTCGGCCACATTCGAATTTGTCAAGACGCCCTGGAACTCGCCGAGCCACCTTTCGGCCAATGGCGTCTTTTCATTTGCCTTCCATACTTCCCAATGAATGGCCAAACTCTCTCTAAACGGCTCTGGGACGAATCACTGACCTCTGTGATTATTTGATGGATCGCGTTTGCCCAGCTCCGCCTACGTACAGGAATCTGGCCAACGTTGAATGTGGCCACGATCGGCCGTCTTATTAATAGAGTTATATTATCCCTAGCCATAACAGTAATATGACGGACAGCGCTGTGGCGGCAGGCTCTGAGTCTAGTAGACTGTACTGCGGGTGATATTTCGTGCTTGATTGAAGTTGCCCGACGAAGCAGGTTCTTGAAGCTCAGTGGATATGACAAAGGAAGATCGACTATTCTGTCATGTTGTGCGGAGCGCTTTTCAAATCGTTCCAGTCACGAAAACACAACAACTTACCAACGGTAAGTATTCAGTGTTTTGTGGCTATCCTGGTGCACAGAAATACGTTCGGTGAAAACATTTATTTGTACCTAAGGTTTTCACGAAGTCGCCCCGACATCCTTCAGCTGTGAGTGAAAAACGTGTTCCCTATCTAGCGGGCGGTACATTGCGCAACCATACTGCAATGGTGTGGCAACAGATAATATAACTCACCCAAAAAGATGGCCGACCATGGCTGTATTCGCGGAGCGGACAAACACGAACCAACAAATAGTCATAGAGCTCAGTGAGGCGAACAACCCCCATCAGTTATGCTCAGTTTTACCTTATTTTATACCTCAGCCAAGGCTAGAAGTGCGAGTTCATAGCGTTGGCAGCTGCCGTCAATGCACAAAAGCTTGTGCTGCCGAGATGTGCCCTATAGCAAGGAGCTCGTGCTTGTAGCCTTTCCTGCGGTACCTCATAAATTCATAAGGTGAAATAGAGTATAGCTGACGTAGGCCAGCTCAGTAGAGCTCAAAGATCGTTAGCGGCTCAATGGCAGTTGGCGACGCGGTGTAACTGCGGCCGGTCGCGATCGCGTCAACTGTCGTAGAGGTATTGTAACAAGTGTATAAGTGACCTTCCGTAGAACGATCCAGGGAGGCCAATATTTGCTTGTTCGTTTGGCTGTTCTATCTAGGCTAGGGTCACGTGGTATGTCAAACGCAAAGATAGAAATGAGTTCTATGGGTGTAGCTGATCGCCCGAACCCTTCAGCAAGCCTTAGGCTGACGAGTTTTAGAATAGGTAGTTAGGGATCTTAACTCAGGACAACCTCTGTACGTCATGTATGACGAATACCAAGTGACCCAGTTTTTGAACTTATTACCGAATAGTCTTTAAAGTTTGTGAGAAGTTTGTTTCTTAATATCTTCCCGACTAACGCATAAATTAAGAGGGCAAGTGCTACCCTTTACCGCATAGGCCCTGCCTTAACTTACTGTGGAAATTTGTTCTTTCTCATCATCATTATAAAATGTAGTTAAAAACAATTTGCGCGTCGTTTTTTACTTGCAAAAAATGATGTAAAATATTTTTGTTCCTCTACGTTCTTCTTCAAGCTATTCAACTTTTTTAAAAGCGTTAAATTGTGAAGCATCCGTGATACCCCTAGCAGTTGTTCGTAAATCCGAGCATCTAAACTTTTCAATCAAAACATTTTCGTGTTAAATTCCCCAAGAACACGACATATTTATTGTCATGCCTTTATTTTTCCTCCTAAATGTTTCACAAAATATGGCACTTTATTCACTGCTGGGCAGTGTTTCAAAACATAAACAATTACTTAAAGCAGAGCTTGCTCACAGCATGCCCATCCTTACACTAAGAAAAACAGTACATTTCATTCATCATCATTGAAAGCAGTGAAAGTCGAACACGTATCAGTATCCTTCCAAGGTCTTGCCGAGGCTCGAACCTGCGCGCAGCGAAACCACCTTTGAAACCCACGAGATCATGGCCACATCTTTTTGTGCTGTCGTGCTGGAAAACAGACTAGAACACCAAGCGCAGAAAGTACCCTACACGGCCGATACGCCCATTTAACCGACCATCACACATAGAATTTGCCAGCGCAGAGTTCCCGTTCAAAAAGAAACCTGCCCTGCCGTCACAATCCGCCGAGTCCGTTGCTGAAAACCTTCTTGAGTACCTCCATGAACACGGCGCGCTCCTGAATCTCCGAGCGGAGCCTGAGTTCGCGCTCCTGGCGCTCGATCTCGAAGCGCGCCTTCTCCAACGACAGCTTGTCCTCCTGGAGCCTGAGCTTGGCCCTCTCCAGCTGCACTTCCTCGCGGCGGATCCGGAGCTCCCTGTCACGCAGCGCCGATTCCCTGAGCTGGCGGGATAGCAAGAAGGTGACCACCTGCGTAGGAAAGTCGGCGGCCCCGTTTCCCATCCTGGCCGTCGACCGGATGGTCTCCAGGAGGTGGTCATCCTCCGTGGTACGAGCTCGCTTCACCGGACTGGCCTCCTCATCTCTGTCGTGTTCGCTGCTCCCCGCGGGGTCCGGGACTGCGGTTAGGCCATCGAGATGTGAACGGCTTGAAGCATACAGAAGATCATTGGTTTTCTTTCTATTTGCCTAACTGGATAAGAAAGGCAAAGGAGCATTAGCGGAAAAGGCGGTGTACCAAAGAGAATCCGCTGGGTTCATTCTTCTCGTAAGATAAACAACTACACGAATACAGCAATATATGGAAGTAATACCTTGAGAACGAATCCCATCGGAGGACTTAAAAGAGAAGCCGATGTTCAGATCGAAAACTCGGATTTATAGGGCAGAATTTATCATGAAGGTATATCCCTAATACAATTGCATCGGCTATCATTTTCGAGATGAGAATAATGTTAGTTCATTTCAAAATATCCATTACAGTTCGACATAATGCGTTGGCAGATGTGCTTGGCGTTTTGAGTGATACTCTGCCTTTGTAAAATCTTTTTTACAACACGATAATGCTGGTTCGCTTATTTCAAGCACTTTTCTTATAGCACATCCCAGCGCGACCTTATGGTGCGTTTACACTTGCGAAAACATCGCGGCCGCTGAAGCGGACTCGGCGGAAGCGGAAAATAGGAGGTGTTCTGTCACCGGTGGCAGTTGCTCTCGAAGCTTCGCGTCTGCAACAAGAGGGCGCGAAATTTCTCGTCGTCAGCTGCTCTCGGCAACTACTGGCAAGCTCTCGGAGTCGCTCGGAGTGCGTACGGTACGAGCAGGACGCGCTCGTTTCACCAGACGTGAAAAGCCGCGCGGAGGTGGTCAAGTTCTACCGCAAAGGAGCCGAGGCTACGACGATTCGGTGTTTTCTACTCGGACTGTAGCAGGACATTCAGCGCAAATAAAAGAAGCAGCGGTGCACCGTCGTTGACGGCGGTTCGCCCCGCATCCCGGATGAACGTACGACCCCTTGTTTCAAGTGGACTCTTCCCGCATGTAGAGCTGACTTCATTTGGGGATCCGCTGGTTTTTCTTTGTTTCTTCGTCGTTCCAGTGTTATTTCTTATGTATGTAGAGCGCTGTGGTGTTTGAATTATGTGTGTTTTGTTCAAGCTGCGAGGTGCCGGACTACACTCTTAGAAAAAAGTAAAGTAAAAAACGACAATCAGAATGTTTGAAACAAAATCAAGCAAGAGGTACACAATGGAAGTCTTATCGGCACCGACATTACAATGGCCGCCCTCGCCGAGCTTTGACTTCCCCGACGTGCCGTGATCGTTCTAGTGGCGATCGGGTCCCGAATCATACCTCTTCGGGCTATATTTGCTGTTAAGATACTTTCTAGGTGTCGGCGGCGTATAGCGTGATCGCCTTCTCTGTTCTTGAGTATCGGGTTTTATTAGCATGAATCACCACCAGCTAGCTTGTTTTTAAGTATTGTTGCAGTTACTCCCCCAGTCTTCCCCAATAGTAAGTGCGACGGCACTGGCCATGGGCGGCGACGCAGCGGACGCAGCCATCTTTAGCACTATTGGGGCGAACTACTTAGCTAAAAAGGTATTTTCACACAATGGATCTTGTTGGCGAATCCTGTGTCGCGAAACGAGGTTTCGAGAAACAGATTCTTCATATGAACGCGACCGAAAATATGGCGCGCCTCCCAAAAAAGTGGCGCGTGCATGCTCTTTGCTTCTGGACACGATGGAATACATTTAGGTGATGACTCTGGCTAGGGTGCCTACATGTCTGTCTGTCTCAGGGTGAAGACATCCATTGTTGCCCTGAATCATGGTGTAAGATACACTCTTTAGGTGAAGACACGGCAGGGCTGAATGCGAGGGGCGAGGAATCAGATAGCGTTCGTGCGACGGGCATCCAAGAGGCTGCATCGTTCCGCGGCCACCGTGCCCGCGGCTGGCAGTGTCGCCGGCGGCCAAACGGCGAAACTGTGTGACAGCGAAAAAAAATAACTCGTTGCCATGACAACCCGGTACACCGTGGCATACCATGGTCTTTCTGCACGTGCGACAACCTCGCTGGAGCTCTGCGCGTGTGGATCATGAGGCGGCACGAGCTGTCTTGTGCACTGCTGCCTGCTTCCTGCGTCTTTCTTAAACTCTCAGAAAAAAGGGTATGGATAGTCCTCCCTTAGGAGTGGAACGGTCTTGTAACCTATGTTTTTTTAGAAAGGGAGAAGCTTTCCTCCCTGAAGCAGGGGAGGAAGTTCCTCCGTCACTTGCATCTCAATATGGCGGCCCCGAATCGAGCAAATCGAGCCCAATAAGGCTTAACGAGGACGCTACGTCTCTTGTACGGGACGAGAGGAGCAGCAAATAAAAGCGTAACACGAGCTTTCCGCGAACTGTGTTTATTTCCGAAGCCAGATTCCCCCACAGGTACAGAAACTTGCGTTTCGAAAGCAGTTACTCAGTCTTCTCGTCGACAGCACTGCGATGTGAAACGGGGACAACGGATACCCAGTTACTTCGCGCACTTTGCGTCTTACCTTTGGTGTTCCTCGAGTCACAATTCCTTCGTCAACCGCACATCACAAAGAAGAGCAAACTCAATCCGCGAAACACAAAGCCGCTCTCGAAAGAACAAACTCGAAGCCACTGTTTATCGCGTAGCGTGAAAGAAGGTTAAATCGCTAGCCACCAGATGGCGGGGTCAAGCAGAGTAATTGCAAGTAGCTAGGATAGGTGGCGCTAGGTACCGCCCAATTCATGTTCTACAAAAAAAAAATAATTTGCTTTTCTCAGGCCACTACTGCGCTTGGGGATCCTTCTACTATACACGCATTACGCTTATTACAAGCTTCAGGTGAACATACATTGAGCACATACACGGCATACACAAATATCAATACAATGGAACACCACACTAACCCGGACACTACACCCGTGCTCAGAGTTTTCGTCTTTTATACTGGCCGTTTTGAACGTACGGAACTTTTCGGCGACTCCCTAACAGGGTTGTAAAGTACCTAGGTACAAGTAACTGAAAATCGGTATCTAGGTACTTTCGTTGTACCTGAGGTACAAACCTAGGTACTTTCATTTCTCAGTATCAGTATCTGTATCTTAGGTACATTTTCCAGTAACTTGTAACTAAATGAAGTTACTTTTTTCAGGTACTTTTCTATTTACTTCGTCAAAATCGTTGAAAATACAATTTAACATATAACTGAAAATAAATTATAATTACAGTCGTAAAGCAATTTAACGTCACGTAGTGTTTCCACGCAATAAATCGAACTCAAATTTTGCACTTTACAAAACTGAAAATGTTTGTGAAGAAAAAAAACTGGGAGGACGATTAACCTTCGCCTTTAAGAGTTGAACGCGATAGAGTTATCGGGCCCCGTTCGCATGGCCTTCTCAATCGCTTCTCATGCTCTTGAGTCACACAACGACCTAGTTCTTATGATACAACACTCCCGGCGCGATCGAGGAGCTTTTGCCAGTGCTTTGATGCCATTTTACCCGCAAGGTTAATTTATGCGTTTGCTCGGCACGTGCTAACAACACTCAATGCGATAATGCCTTTACCCTGACACAGACAGACATCGAGGCACTCCAATGACGGCAGGATCGCAGTGCCATTCCCAAGCCCTCCGTTGCCTAGTCGGTAGCATGTCTGGATCGCAACCGAAGGGTCGTGGGAGCGATCCTGCGTAAATTCTTCAAATTTCTTTTTTCAGGCAAATGAATTAGTTTATCATGTAGGATCATTTGAAACATGCGGCGACCATTAATTCGTGTGTCTTTAACCACCTTCGTTCCACGCGTAACGTCACGTTTCACATGAGCGTTGTGGGTTGTTTGAAATTCCTGCGCGAATTCATGTGGCTGTGACGTCACGACTCTATCGACCATTCACGGATTCACCGTCACGCCACCGACGCCACCGCCATCCGACGGATTTTCTGTGACACGAGCTCCTAAACGCGCTCGCGATAAAATATTAACTTTCTTCCTAAAAACATTGACACCAATAAAGCACGTTTATCAAACTTGTTTTTGTGTACATCCCAGTATACAAAGGATTTACTTCCAATAGTAATGTGACAAATTTGAGGAAAATACTTGACGTAAAAATGAAAAGTATCTTTGAAGCAACTGTACCTGTACCTAGGTACATTTGTAAGCGAGTAGCTAGATACGCACCTAGGCATATTTTCGTATGAGTAACTGTAACTGTATCTTGGGTACATTTTTAAAGTAACTTTTACAACCCTGCTCCCTAAGCACTAAAAAAATATTCCCAGCATGTTGATTTTTTTCCCAGCAATGTCATACATCTGAAAGTATTTTGAATGGCTCAGGGGATGAATCTCTTATTAAAAAGTAAACGCTCGATCATGCCGTAATTATTTGAAAGCCAATAAATCAAGCCGCTCCAATGCGGTTCGAAGCCATGAGTTTGTTTCCCCACGCGGCTCGTCGTAGCCTGTATTTCTATTGGTTTTTCTATTTGTGCTGTTCGCGCAAAGCTGCAATTGCCGTTTTGAATTAATTTCTGTAGAGCGGATATTCACTCAGCTGGAAGTGATGCTTCACGGGCTGAGAAATCGCTTTTCGATCAACTTGAATGCAGCCAAAGCCGCGACTTGCGGCAGGTGTTAAGTGTACGGAGCTACGCCGTGGCGAGCCCGAAAACTTCTAGCGCTCATCCCAGCGCGCCACTTGGAGGGCAGTTTCTCCAGGAACCGTAGTATATTTAAACAGCAAAATAAAGGGTAGCTTTTTTTTTATAATTAACCTACTATTGTTTTTTAATGCTAAAATTCCACATTGTAAATATACGTACTTTCCGTCACGATTTCGTACTGTTGTCATTGCCCCAGAGCACAATCGCTCTCGGGGACGAGACAACCGAGAGTCACATTGGCCGCTGTACGATAGGAGCTTATACTGTTCAGACCAGCGTTCCAACATGACTATCCGCACGTTGATCGATTGCGTGTAACCCCTCAAGTGGCATTAAACTCTTTAATGTAAAGCGAAATGCCAACCTGCGACACCCCGCCCCCTCCGATCACGGCCCGACCAG